CTTTGTTAATGCTTCCCAGAACAAAATCATCCTCTTCCCTGTTGTTCCCTGTAAGGACTGTAAAGATGCAAAAAAATCCCACCAAAAAAAAAAAAACAAACAACCCACACAAAAAAAAAAAACCAAAACACACACACACACAAAAAAAAACCAACAAAACCAAACCCCAGTGATCTTTTCCTAGCAACACAGAGGTAAAGGATTCACAAACAACAGCTAGTGTTCTCATAGCCTTCCACATGTTATAAATTGCTTTCCAAGTCCCCTCCCTGTAAATATACAATACAAACGAATAAGTATGGACACTGCACATCTTCACACCCTCCAAAATAGCTTAATATTTACAGTCAACATCTTGTGAAAGCTGCAGCAATACCTCATTTTGAGCAAACACACACATCAATTATTTTGAGAGTACTTAAAATGAAAATCCTCTCAAGTCAATACAACAAAAGCAATCACATAAGATTTGGATATGAATTTAAATTGGCAACTTTTGAAAGAAGCACCATGTAATTACACGTTGAGAAGTTGATGGCACCTTTTGTTTACCAAACTGAAAGTTAATTTTCATGGCAAAATTCTACCTGTTATGTCCAAAACCACTGAAAAAACACCTGCCAGAACATATTCAAGACTACTCATAGGTCAAGAGCTTTAAACCAGGAAAATGTGCATATAAACACTTAGAGCTATTCAATTAAAAACATGTTCTACAGTTCAGAGATAAACAGCTTGTACAAAAAGGAGTGGAAGCCAGAGGCAGGTCCCTGCTTTGCTATGCTTTGCACACTTTGGCATCGAACAAGAACAATTTAATGTCTTTCAGATTCCTTCTGCCGCTACCAACGCCAGCTATAAATCTGTTCCAGCACACGAGGGATGCTGTTCAGTTCTTCAATGCTTCCAGCAACTGTACCGAAGAGTATTAGCATTGGTCTCGCTCACCCAATTTTCTCTTAGCCATTTCTTAACATACCTCAATGCAGAAGATGCTGCAGCTTCCAGCAGCCACATCTTCACAACTATCAAGGACTTTCAAACAAGAGAGACACAGACAAAATACCCTGATGGGACAGGGTGCTAATCATTTAATATCAAGGGTATAATTTACCACTGCAAACTTCAAAGCTTTCATAGTATGGTCTTTTTTTTTTTTTCTTAATAAGGTATTTGACTTGATTAAGAGTTGTTTCTAAACCAAAACCTCCCAGAAAGCCTCACCGAGGAGCACGTTAGCTGGATTCAAACTCATAACTCATTCCACAAGACTCAGTACCATTCCACATATTTATCAATGACCAGAAGGGAAATAAGAGCAACTGCAGATTCAGTTTGTAGATCACAAAGCCCAACAAACAGAAAGCAACAATGTGGACAACGTGTTTGTACAGAGCAATCTGACCCGTGTAACAGCGGCCTGAACTCACTAACACAAAGTCTGTTTTCACAGAGCCCTGGACAAACACAACTGCAGCACAGGGCTGCACACAAGAAATCCAAGGTAAAAGCTCTTCAGGCAATACAGTAGCAAAAGAGAATAAAAATACAGTCCAAGGGCACGTAACAAAGGAAAGGAAGTAAGAATGAAGTAGTAAAAGAGATTTTATCTCTGTACATTGTACAGGTAGAGTCTGGAATAGACTCCTTTATGCAAGTTTTCTAGTCACAAATGTGGAAAATTTTAAAATGCAGAAAGCTGTAACAATGCAAAGGGAAAGGCAAAATGCCCTACAATAAGAGAATTCAGAGATCAGACTGTTCAGGCTCTCAAGAGGCTAGGGCTGAGACAGAAATGCTATATATGCCCTCACATAAGAGAGGACAGCATACTGACGTGTGCTTTGGTATAGTAGAGAAGGATGTAACAAGGAACAGCTAAAACCTGAAAATAGAAAAATCTAGAAGAAAAATAAAGGAAAGGAAAATACACCTTTCAGTGGCCAAACTACCAGAACAAAGGAAAATGTTCACCATCACCAGTTGTCTTCAAGAGAAGGAGATACTGTAGCCAAAAAATAACTCCTGGACTCAAACTTGGGATCAAATAATGGAAATTGAAGGCTAAGTGATGCCTGGCTATTTAAAGATATTTAAATCCTAATATGAACCTCCGGCTTTAAAACTGTGAATGGCTAAAATCTCAAATGAATTAATTACTCATAATCCTGCTTGAAGGTGGAAAGTACCAAGAATAACTACAGTTTTAAAACACTGTAGTAGGAGAAAAGCATATGCCAACTGAGGAAACGTTGGCCAAGAACTGCAATAGTGCTTTTTGATCTGATGAACTCCTAAAGCTCTACATCCCCACGTAGTGGGTTGTCAGTAGACTAGTTAGGAAGGTTTGGTTTTCCTTCTGAGGGGGTGACTCAGAAGAAGCCAAGACAGCTTAGACATGGTTTGTGGGACTGTAGAATAAAGTGTTTCCTTTCCTAGTCAGTTAACTACGGCAAGAGAGAATGTCACTGCACAAGAGATGAGAAGTGACAAAACACAGAGCAGGGGAAGGTACAACCAAAGCGGGAAAGGAGAAGGGCTATATGACTTAACTTACCACATGAGTTTCAAAAATTCACATTGAAGGTCAGAATCACCTGTGATCTTCAAAAACATGGAATCAACACTATTTGATTTAGTTCTCAATGCATTTTCCCCTAGGCTCTCCTCCCTCCCTTGCTCACACGGGCAGGCAAAACAAATTCAGTCACAGTTCTGATGTTCATACATTGCTCAACTGAGAGGTAGCACAAATTGCCGAGGAGGTAAGAATAGTATCCTTCCCGTGCTGTGCCTGCACCAGAAATTTAACTCTAATGATAAATTAGAATCTCCAAACAATACTAATAGATTTTATAAAATTTAAGATTAATTCTTAAATTAGAAAACATGCCACAGAAAGGGCTACCTCATGAACTGCTCTTGGGTGCTTAGTCAAAAGCACATTCACACACAGGGATCCCGTATCCATTAGAAGCTCAGGATATCATATTTTGCAGCGACTCCAGTCCTATTCTTTCCCTCATTTCTCCACATTAACTTTTTCTTCTCTCAATTAGTAAAAGTAGGCAAAAGAAAATGACCCTATTTATTTCCTTACAGCATAGAGAAAAGCCATCAACTCTGACACAAAACCCACAAGCAGTCATGGCCTGCTGAAGGATATAAAAATCAAATATGTTTGCCTTAGGCAACACCTAAGAAATGAATTGAAGTTGAAGCCACTGACAACACACACTCATCAAAAGGACAGATTTTAAAACTCCACACTGTCGGCCCAGATGTCCGGTAAGCTGGACTGCCTAAGCTGCTTGGGAACAAAACTTATCCCTGACATTCTGCCAATTAAAAAGCATAAAATCCCCATGCCATCAGCGTTCAGCTCAACTTGCTAGAAGCGGCAGGACTAGAAGCACAGACCAACCAGTAACAGCCATGCCCTTGGTTAGGCCTTTGAATCCTTGGCGGGGGGTGGAACCCCACCTATCTTCTTGGCATAAACAAGAATACCAGAACTGAGGTTCAGACTGGCCACATTTCAATCCAGTTTAGAAAACCGGGCAGTTTTGCTTCACGGAAGTGCTATTTGATTATACAGACTATATAACAAACTAAAAAAACAAGAGACAGAACAGTTTGTGTTCCGTCTGGCTAATGATGCAAGTAACTGCAATGTACGTAGGAAGAGGAAATTATTGTACACATATACACATATGGCTGGTAATATTTCTGCTTCAACAATGAAAAGGAGAAAGATATACCAAGAAAACATTTCCTCAACATCTGTGAGTAACTGAGAGCTCCACTGGATTTCAGCAATATGGAGACATTCCACAATACTCATTCTTGGAGTTCAGTATAGTTAATCTAAAGAACAAAATTACTGCAATTACAAAAATAACACTAAAAATATATTTACTTATTGCAGCAGTCTCATGTATTCAAACAGCTTTCAGTAATGCTTTTAAAATACTCTGTTAGCATAGTCAATAGCTATCATTCATAATTACTTGAAGTTACAGTGGTTCACAAGTTTGTCTCTGCCGTGGGGAAGCCAGTCAATCAAGGAGACAGCAGAAGCAGACAAGTGACAGACATCCCTGCAACAGATAAGTAGTATGATCTTTTAACCAAAGGACTAAGCCTGTCAGCGGCCCACTCAGAAATAACCCCTCTAGTAATGGAAAAGGGAAAAGGGCTGGGATTTATTTGGGTAAGCCATTCAGCAGACTTAACTTGCCATTTCAGAGCTCAGAGAAAGGACAGAGAAGGAAGGTCAGTAATATCCTTCCTCCTTTGGTTATTCATTCCGCTGCCTAAAGCCTCCCAAACAAACCACTGTGCTGCCCTGCTCAGGGAAAGATCAGGTGTTACTGGACAGAGCAAAGCTAAATGCCTTTCACTGGAGCTGCCCTCAAGTTCAGCACCCGCAAATTGCAGTAAAAATCGGGGCTTTCCCTGGAGTTTTTCTAAGGTTTGAGGGCATAGAGCAATAAGAGAAGAGGATCTACGCCTTTTGTGCAGCTTCTAAGGCTACAGAGCATAGCGAAAGCAAGACAATCCTATAAAATAAAACCCCAAAAGCTGCTTAATCACCTCATTGCGGCTATATCCTCCGGTGCCATTTCCTGCTCCTTTGGCAATTTAAACTTTCAAACTATCCTTAGCTTTGAGGTTCCTTCCACTCTGCCACAGAGAGGACTGGGAATAATTTCAGAGTACGTAATCCTTCTCCTCTCTCTCCATACCACAGTCTTTATTCTTAAGGACACATGACCTTCTTATCTTTATATTAGCTTCTCTCTTCAACAGGGTTACTTATAACCCCATGACAGTGTCTCCATTTCCTCTGCAGCTTTCTTTGGACCCATCACATCACTTTGGCTGTGTTTGTGGGAAGGTATCCCACTCCCTCTTATTTCTCCAATCCTCAGTTGATCCCTCTGCTCAACCACCCTTCTCCCCTCATCCCCTTTTTATGCTCTTCACACCATTCATACCTTCATTTCCTCAGCTGGTTTAGATGCTCTCCTGAACCCATTTCCTTTCAGTGCTGCACATCTCCATTCCTGCCTTCCCTGACTGCACAGAGCTTCCTTTAGTCAGGCACAAGGGAAGGAAGAACAGCTCTCAGCAGCGCTCTCACCTTTAATCCACTTCTCTCCCACACATCAGAAGCTCAGAAGCCTGAATATCCATCCCCTCTGCTAACCTCATCTCTCCCCTGACCACATCAATGCCCCACTCACACTCTTGCCAAACCCCGAATCTTCCCAAACCCCAAATCTTTGCAGTTTCTTTCCAGAAAGAATGCTGGTAACAATAGAGAACTCTAAAATGCTTTTTTTTTTTTTTTCATCCAGTGACTTTCCTCCATCAGCCACATCATTAATCCCAAGGCATTTGCCTTTCTTTCAAACAGCTAAAAGGTTCCTTTGACCCATTCATTTTACTCCAACCTTTTGTTTCTCATCCTCTCTCGAGACAGTAACACATCCTTTTATTTCACTAAGATCACAAGTAGATCACCCAAGAATGAAACCCAAGGGAACTCTACAGCCTCCCTCCCCCTCAGCATGCAGCATCCATCCCTGCTTCAAGCTGTGTAATTTTAGAGCACCATCTCCCTTTGGACGTGCCTACTTGGGTCGCAACAGACTAGCAGTAACACAGGGTCACATTCATAACCATACTCAAAGGACGGAAATTTCACCTGCTGAAGCTTAGAACTAAAACTGCTAGAAACTGCGTGAAAAAGGCATTCTTAACACCAACAGAAACACTCCTACAAAGGAAGCCTACGTACAAATTTGTGACTTCACACTAACAATGTCTTATTTTTGCCATAGTTTTGAGACCAGTATTTTATAGAGATGATCAAAAGCTGCACACTAAAAGCAGCCGTATTTTTACCTATGCTTAGCAACGGTCACTGCAGCTTTCACAGCAGACCTGCAAACACTCAGCATAGCAAGCCATTTCCTTTATTCCACACCTGTATTATAGCTCAAGTGACCTCTATCTAAATACAGAGAAAAAAGTCAAAAATCTTCTCTGAAAGCAATTTTGATGAAGAAGGAAAAATAAGGCTCAAAAAGGCTTCCTCCACCAATATACTTCAGAAAAATGGTTAGACTGACCAGCTGTCAGGGGTACATGCATAGGCTCTTGAGCTCCCACCAATTCTGTGCAACCCTGGCCAAGACACTTGGGCCCAGCCTTCCCCTAATCAGCATTTCACAGCTCATCGTTTTCACACTGTGCAAGCCTTAACCAACTCCAAACTGTTCTTCCCAAAGGACCAAGTCCACTTTTTCCTCAAAGAAAGCTTTAATGCACAAAATAAAATGTCTTTGCACTGTCAAATATTCAGGGAGAAAATAAGAGAGAAGTTACCCTACTGTAAAAACAAACCTTACCTTTTAATTTTTCACTCCAGTCTATGGGAAAGACAATGAAAGCCTGGTATTTGGCACAGATAAAATCCCAATTAAAAACAGTGCCCTTTCTTAAAGTCAAGAGAAAACAGGGTTGTGACTAGGTTATTGTTTCCGAGCATGCTCGGCAGCTTTTAAGATTTCAGCATCGGGTAATGGAGCCCTGTTTCCTCTCTGACATCACTACACATTCTCCCTGCATGACCAGAGCAATGACACAGTAACAGGTTTTGCTGCTACATTTTTTTTTTCCAAAGAGGTTGCCCCACAAAAGGACAAAAACAAGGACACCGAGCAAAAGGCACATGTGAACAAGTTGTGCAATACCCGACTACAGAACTTACTGATTTCTTGGCTATATCCTGCAATGCCCCACTTGTTCCCCCATCTCTCCACTCCCAAAGCAAAGTATTGTAAAAAATGTATTTTCAAACCCAAGATCTAGCTTGCTCTGCTTCCTGAAGCGGGAACTTTAAAACCTAATCAGACCATTTCAATATTAATTGCAACTCATTTCTTCATTTAAGGAAATAAACGATGCAAACTAGCCCCTGCGTTTAGCGCTGCATTAGGAAGCCATACCTACAGTCCACAGATAAGGTAACGCAAACGGTGCAGTCAACCACGCCGACACGTATTTTCTCGAGCGTTTCTAACACAGTTTAATAACGACTTGTGAAGCGTGCATCCCCCTAAAACAACATAAATTACCACTGAACGTCCTGACTCTTTTCAAGACTGCACCTTAACGCTACATGAAGTAGAATTACGCAAGCTCCGCAACTATAAAAAAACCTCCCAGATCTGTAGATGAAAAGCACTATTCCAACTTCGGGCTCCCGAAACAAGGACGATACATAGAAACGCAATAGCTCTTCTCGAGCTGCGTTTATTTTCACTCCTTTTGTTTTTCCTTCTAACCTCGAGACTCTCTCGGGCTGAAGTCAGAAGACAAAATGTCATTGTTTAGGCTTAATGAGTCAACGTTAATTTCACTATTGTTTATTTAAATCCCCTTTAAAACAGCAACGGTGGCGTTAATTACGTCGAAACACTAATGTTTTCTTGAAGGGGCGACAGAAGAAGGAAGACACGTTTTCCACCGAGGGGGTCGCTGGCATCGCTGGCACATGCTGGGGCAGCCGGGGACGGGGCTGCGTCCACCGGGTGC